CAAACCTGAACAAAATCTTAAGAGCCATACTCAACTACCTTCTAAGAGCCATTACTGCTGCTCTCCCAGTGAGAGAGAGTCTACTATTAGGACTTCCCAATGACTGTTACTATGTGGTGTCAGTAAATTATTTTAATCAGGTGTCCAGAGCAATGGCTCATGCCTGTTATTCCAGCACTTTGGAAGGCTGAGGCAGGAAGATATCTTGAGTCTAGGTGTTCAAAATGAACCTGAGCAACATAGCAAGACTCTATCTCTATAAAAAAAAAAATAAACATAAAACAATTAGCTGGGCAAAGTGGTGTGCTCTTGTAGTCCCAGCTATTTGGGAGGCTAAGGCAGGAGGATGGCTTGAGCCCAGGAGGTTGGTGCTGCAGTCAGCTGTGACTGCAACACTACACTGCAGCCTGGGGAACAGAGTGAGACCCCCTGTCTCAAAAGAAAAAAAAAGGTGTCTTTAAAAGTTCAGTAACTATCCGTATGTAAATTGTCTGTAGGCAAATAATAGTCTCAGTCCATATTTGCTACTATTTAAATTTGGTACACTAAAGATCAAAAGTCTGCCATGTTGGTTCAGACATCTGAGCGGCAAGTAAACAAATCAGGAGAGGAATAAGTGAGAGAGCTAGGCAGGTCTTAACAGGAAAATGCATACAGATCAGCAGAAGTAAATTCATGCTATTTTCACCACGTGGTTCAAATGTTAACCAAAATTAACATTCCTGTCTAATATTATATGTAAAAATTCATTTCTCACAAAGCTGGAAAATAAATAGGTTAGCAATTTTGAACCCTAGGGTTTATTTTATAAAAGACATCTTTTGAAACTTTAAATTTTTATTACCTAAAATTCTGTATTGTTTGATAAATTCAAAATGGGCAATTATCTTTAAAATAAAAAAATTAAGAGTAAAATTAGACTCTAGCAAAACCCCAGGGCTCTTCAAATAGGATGATGAAAGGAAATAGAAGGTTCAAGTCTGCATTTGCCTCTACTCCTGAGACACATATCCATTTGCCTTTTGTAGTTCAGAGAATTTCTTGACTCCCAAGTTACTGATTTCCTAATAACATAAAATATGGAATGATCTAATCTACCCAGAATGAAAAAATTATCACAGATCATGTCCTCATGGTAAGGGGAGTTATATAGGAAGCACTCAAAGAGGAATCAGCCTGCTGCCAAAAATAATCACTGATGCCTGGGGAGAGATGGACTAGCAGAGAACAGATTTACTGGCTTGACCAATAATCATATTAGAGGGGAAATTTTCAACTCTTAACTCAGGTTCATAGCCTTTCTCATTACACAGTGCCATACAAACACCAATACTAAAAATTTTATTAAAATTTTAAATATGCATTACATTCACCTATAAAATATTATTCAAGGTTGTTTTCTAATGAATACATTTGTATTCATATAAAATATTAGAACTTTTTTCAGCTTTTATTTTAACACCATGGCATAAAACATCTTCTTTCAGTGAGATGCAGTAGTAGCATATAATAATCCAATAAAATACCCATTTTACAGATATGGTACTGACTTTGGGGAGCTGATTTTTTTAGCGGGGGAATAAACATCTCCTGAGGCTTGTTTTTTAAAGGATGTCAACTTAGTACCATTCACATTTGTGTGATAAGTGAAGTTATAAGGAGCTGTGATTTAAATATAGCAGTTGAAAGTAAAAGCGATATCATAATGCATGGAAAATCATAGCCACATAGACAGGAAGACACACCAGTGAAGTCTCAGGGAAGAGAAAACTATACATAGATGCAAACTAAATGAATTGCCTGCTAGCCTCTGGTTTAGGAGGAATCACAAGCAAACTAGGAGAACACAAAGCAAATAGGTATACCTACTTGACTCCCTCAAGGGCCACCACTTTTATCATTACATTGTGGGAAAAATAAGAAGGAATATTTATCTTAAATGGTGTGCCATGGATGAGGAACAACACATACAAGGCTATGTTGGTGCTGGGAATCCTTGCTCCAGGTATGAATATAAGGTCCCCAGTGAACTTTGACACATAGATTACCTGGTAGCTCCATTTCATGCATAAATCTGTTATCAAAAATATCTCTGAAATATGAGATTAAAGAAGCTTAGCTGGTTTCCCACCCCTGTGTTAAGGGAATACTCCTCACAACTGTATAAAACAGAATGTTCTCTTAGATATATGAACTTCCCCTTTACAATGTTATGATAAGCAAAATGTTTAACTACCAAAAACTTTATGGAAAATGAAAGTGCAGTGTGACACACTCTGGATAGGAGGAATGGCATTATCTCATTGATTTAAGTTCCTCCTTCCTTTCACTCGTTATGACTGCATCTGCTTCCCATGGTCACATTCTGTAAAGATAGAAATATATTTCATAGCCTATCAAATAATTTCATAAAAATAGATTACCATGTGAAGCCTATGTTAGAAGAATGATTGTGCTTAACTGAGGACCCTAGATGCCACTAAAAAAAAAAAAAATCTTCAGCAATCTTTAGGAGATTAGAGACTTTTCAGACTCTAAAAAGCAGAAAGTAAACAAAACAGAACTTGAAGCTACCAACTTGGGCCTGCAGCTTTTCCCTCTGTTAGAATCTGTTAAGATTCTGTCGAGTCATTAAAGAATAATGACAGATGCCCTGTCTGGGTAATCTCTCTGATGGTGGAGATTTAAAGATATGTGAATTAGTATTACATACTACTGTGGAGTGCAGAGAAAAAGCGAGAAACTTCTTGAGTTTCCTCTTTTTTGTGGGGGATGGGGTATATTTAGAGGAACAGATATTAAGTAGTGGTGTGGGTTGGCTGGAAGTGGTAGAAGAGAGAGAAAACAGAGTTCTCTTTATTTTGTGATTAGCAAAAGAGAAAGAATTTTGTTTGTTTTGCTTTGATGTCTAGGATTGCTAATATTTCTAATTAGACCATTGAGAAGCTTGTTTCTGCAATTTTTTAAACTAAAACTTCTTACAGAAGATTCTCAAGGGGAACATGCATTATTGAGTAGATTATAAACAAACATACAAAACCTTCACTTGTATAATTATTATAATTTTTCTGTGGTTAAGAACAGCATGCTTATGTTGAGGAAAGCACTAAGAGTTGAGTCAGATGCTATTAACTATGTGAAACCAGGTGAAACTGGGATTTTTATATACACAATGTTTTTAATGTAATACTTGAAATTTTGTGGAGCTTTAGCCTTTACAAACTTTAGAAGGTAGTAACAATTTTAAAGACATGAGACCAAGGCTGGGCACTGTGGCTTATGCCTATAATCTTAGCACTTTGGAAGGCCAAGGTGGGCAGATCACCTGAGGTCAGGAATTCAAGACCAGTCTGACCAACATGGTGAAACCCCATCTCTACTGAAAATACAAAAATAAGCTGGGTGTAGTGGTGGGCACCTGTTGTGCCAGTAACTGGGGAGGCTGAGGCAGGAGAATCACTTGAACCTAGGAGGCAGAGGTTACAAAGAGCCAAGATCACACCACTGCACTCTAGCTGGGGCAACAGAGTGAGACACAGTCTCAAAAAAAAAAGAAGAAGACATGAGATCAAGAATATTGTAAGAATATTTGGTAATTTATTTTCAAATCAACAATTATATACATATATATTTTTATATTCACTATGTGCAAAATGCAGTTCTAAATATTTGAACAGTAAGGAGGAAAAATAATGATGAGTTGGATAAGATCCCTATTTGCAAGGCTTTTCTAATCTAATTGGAAAATAAAGCATAAGGACCCGAAAAGTCAAATTAAAACACAAAAGTCATAAAGTCAAAACAGTACAAAGGACAATGTGATACATTTCACGATGAATCACCAAAATCGTGTCAAGACCAAAGGCTATTACAGCTAACTGTGCTATCAGAATTATATGGAGAAGCTTTAAAAAAATAATTCTTAGGCTCTACCCCAGACCTCTTGAATTAAATTTCTGGGTAGGGTATGGGAGAACAGGGGGTATTCAGAGATGAGAGAGGATTTGGAGGAGGCATGGTCTAGCATTTTGTATTATGTAAAGCTTCCCAGGTGATCCTGATGAAAACAGTTTGGCATAATTTAGTAGATCAGTATTTAAGAATCACTGCTATGGGCCAGGATGGTACCACCAGGCAAATATACTTCCACTAGTAAAGGTGACAACTGGACTTTGGGTTAAGACAGATTTTCAGCAGAAACTCTTCTTTTCCTATCTCCATTGATGCCTAGCACACTTAGATAGAGAAATACTAGCCTAGTTCATGAAAGTGAGGGTCCACAGTGGAGCTGAAAAATTTCAAGAAGGGAAAGCTTCTGCTGGGTTATAATGGAAAAATCTTGCTGCCTAAACTTAGGAGAGGTAAGCTTGCCAGGGAAGGGGAACAGCATGTATTCAGGAAAGTAAAACTGGGCCTGAGGCATGATGTTTTTAAAAGTTGTTTAGAAGAGAGGGTTCATGCAAGGGAAGGCTCAGATTTAGAGAGTATCAGATTCACTACTTATGTTCTTCTCTGTTTTTATTACAGAAAAATGTGAATACCAAGTCTGGGACCACACAAATCTCAATTCAGTAAACTGTATGCTACTTTTGCTTACTCAAGTTACACTCAAAAAGATTATGTCATTAATTTCCTTATAATCTACACATCTAGGATAAACTCTTGGCTTAAATTTTTGTGTTTTTTTCATATTTCTTTTTTTTATTTTTTGGGGGGCAAGGTTGGTAAACGATCATTTTCTTTTTTTTTCACTTTCTTTTTTTTCATATTTCTTTTTTTAAATAGGGTTCTGGGTTGTTTAATTTTCTTCAACTTTTATACTTAATAGAGAGAAGCCAGCACTACAATACCTGATGATGATGACAAAATATTTGCACACAAGATGTATTTGCAAAGGATATAAGAATAAAAGAATAAATTTCCAAGACAAATATCAGTGCTACTAGGATTTAATGGTTTGTGCTTATGCAACTTGAACCAAATACGAATATTATTGTTACCTGAGTGAGTGATTCCTGGTAAGATCAGGTTGACGCTCCTGTAGAATTTCAAAGATATTGGGTTGACGTAGAAATGCAACAATCTTGTCATTGTAAGCTAAAAAAAAATCAAAAAAGATAACAATTTTTAAGAGTCTATTATTAGTTATATGCATATAAATCCAAACTTTGTGTATGTATGAGGTGGAGTTTCACTCTTTCACCCAGGCTGCAGTGAAGTGGCCCGATCTCAGCTCACTGCAAACTCCATCCCCAGGGTTCAAGTGATTCTCCTGCCTCAGCCTTTCAAGTAGTTGTGATTTTAGGTGCCTGCCATCATACCCAGCTAATTTTTTCTTTTATATTTTTGGTAGAAACGGCGTTTCGCCACATTGCCCAGGCTGATCTCTAACTCCTGACCTCCGGTGATCCACCCACCTCAAACCTCCCAAAGTGTTAGGATTATAGGCATAAGCCACCATGCCTAGCCTATAAATCCAAACTTTTCAAAATCATCTGTTTTTCAGCCAGGCGTGGTGGCTCATGCCTGTCAGTCCAGCATTTTGAGAGGCTGATTTGGGAGGATCACTTGAGCTTAGGAGTTTAAGACCAGCCTGGACAACACAGTAAGAACTTGTTTCTACTAAAATATAAAATAAAATAAAATCTGTTTTCTGGCTAATATTATAGTCAAAGTTATAGTTTGTACCTAGACTATGCCCACCCCTATAGGTACTTATATTCCAATTTGTATCGAACCTTTACATAATTATTGGACTCAGAGCTGTGGCTTAGTTAACCATTCTTAGTAAACTCATTTGATAAGCCATATTTATTATCAAATGGCAAGATATGGTCATCAATGAGATTCTAGATCTTGATCATTATCAAATATCAGCCTTACAGAAATGACAACAGTTGGAAATGAAAAATCATCTTTTGATTAATTAGCAACCAGCCAGGGAGGTAGAGGCAGAACTAAATTTGCCAAAATGTACTAGCTGCCAAACAACTAGGGCCAAAATGCAGAGGATAAACTATTCCCAAACTCTATGTGAAAATAAGTGCCATTAAACCACAAACAGCTCTTTACCAAATCAACTATACCAACAGCTACAGCACAACCATCATTACCAAGTATGAAAAAAATATTTTAAAAAATCTATATCCCAGTCAAGGCCGGCTAAAGAAACTTAAAAATAGTTAATTAAAATTTATTAAGAATATCTTTAATACCTCTTTTGCCAAGAAAATGAAACTGTTTACTTAAGATGATTATCTTGATTAAATTTGATAATCATAAATAAATCATAAATATATTTAAATTCACAGAACTAAAACAGACTGTCTAAATTCTTAAACATCAGAGATTCTGGTATAGGATATGATCAAAATACATGCCTTTCTTAAACTTACAAATTAAACCAATGAAGAATAATTCTGCAGAGATCTGCTGTTTTCAATCTTACCTACATCATATTGCCTATACATACACATTTTAGTTAAATGTGAATAACAATTTTAAAGTCATACTATCTGCTAAAATGGAATACCACTGTCAACTCAAATTTTCCCTAAATGCACATTTCACTATCTACAAATAATGAAGACTTTTTATAATTATTGAATTGGGGTTTATAGTGCATCTGAGATCAGAGCCCAGATAACTTTCTAAGCAACAATTGTATAGTGCTTTAAAATTCTATGAGCAGTATTTAGTGTCATATTAGTAATAACATAAAAAAACCTAGACTGTTAGACTTCACCTCTGGATTTCTTATCCAGAGGTCAAACTTCTTAGGTCATAGGAATTATATTGAATTTCATGATAGTTTTTTTAAAGAAAAAGTTTTAAAACAAAAACAGACAAATAGAGAGCTGGTCTAATTTGAGACGAGCAGGGAGCCCACATGGCCTCTCATCAATCTGTCCAATCCACCTGCCTTAAGGGCTCCTAGTTTGACAACCACTGATCTTCTTCAACCTCATCATTCTAATAACAACTCAAGTCATTTTTTAGGCCTTTCTCCCACATTCATTTATTTTTATTTTACTATTTTAGAGGTTCTTGCTGCCTTCTATTTGTGACAAAAACCCTTAAGAATGTGCTGTCTTTGCTTATTTTGTGAGGCTACTACAGATTCACACACCATTTAAATTCTGTCTTGGTCTTAAATATACTAAGTATATACTTATCCAAATTCTTAATTTATAATGATTGCATAATATATTACCTTAATAAATTATTTTACCTTAACTTCATTAATCTAACATAATACCTCTACTCAGGCAAGGCAGAGTGGTATTTAAAAAAAATCTTATCCTTTAGGATTTTACAAGACAGAAGCCCTGTGAGACTCAAGTCCATAGGATTTTGTCATACATTTCTTAAGGATAATGCAGCCATTTCTCAATACAGGACAAAAAGTATCAGGTTAACAACAGGGGAAGTATCAGCGCAGTGTACGTGGTATAGATAATGGCAGAAAAGGACAGATAATTTCTGGAAAAGATTGACATACCCACTGGAACCATGTCCTGGTACTGTGGCCTACTGACTGTATTGAATGTACTGGATGGCCTGGGAAGAACTGGTGGTCCTGCATGTCGAGAATCTTCTCCTACCTGCAAACAGAAGCATCATTTATGTTCTGCACCAAGAGCCAGAGAATGCTCTATATCAGTATCCCAAACCAAGCTGTTTAAAATGTTAACAATGAGCATGGTGAAGTGCCACCTGATCAGAACAGACATCAGCTGTGGAGGTGAAGCAGGGTTCTTAGTTATCAAAAGCCTTGTTTTAGTGGCTAAATGGGGGGAAGAGTTGAGGCATCCACATTCTTGAGAGAGGCTGGGTTAGTAATGCTTTACTAAGTGGCACAGAAGTAGTTCAATCTGCTCATAATTACTGAGGCTGCAGCATCTAAATAGCAGACTTGTTCATCAGGACTAACGTCTGCATTGACGGAGCACAGTCTGCAACAATACAATCAAAGGAAAGACTAAGTGTTATAAAATGTTTGGGGCAGTGCCAAGATATTTCTTCTTTTGGCTAAGGCGGCCAGGGAATTCCCTGGCTCAGCAGAGGAGGGGTTGAAGACCAGCAATCTTCACGTGGGGTTCCGAGTTAGTACAGTATCTCCTCAGGAGCAATTTTCCATGCCTATTAGAACACCTGGTACTACAGATCTTTCTGGTTTAAGCCTCCCACACCAGGGCGCTAATAGGAGCAGGTGCAGAGGAGCTAAATAGGGTTGTGCTAACCTGAATTATTTATTGCACCTAATATAGATTTAGAAACTCATACATAAAAGTAGATAGCCAAAAATACCCATTAAGAGTCTTACCAGAAAACTCTGATGTTGCTTTCCCATTTCCCCCCAGATTACAGAACTCTTTTAAGACAATAGTAGAACAGCAATATAAGAGAGAATAAGAGAACAAGAGGCAAAATAACATACTGTACTGGATTTATAAACTGGGATTTTGAAAATAGTTTTTATTCCACTCACAACCCTTTGCAGGCATTTTGTCATACTGCATCACTTGGGTATTTGCTGAGGATTTTTCTGAAGACTCTAATGCTGGAAATATCCTCCCCAACCTCCACTGCTTGCTTGTCCTTCAAGAATGCTCTCACTCATTCCTCACAGTGTAGTTCAAACAGCCCCTCCTCAAAAAGGCCTTCCCTCTCCTTCAAGCCCAAGTTAAATGCAACCTTGTCTGAGCTCCCACAGAACTTGGTGTATATTTCTCCAGCAGATGCCATTGTGAACAGTTTATATTATTTGTCAATTATACCTCTCTAAAACTGGAAATATATAAATAAAAAGAAAAAAACACGGTTATCAAAAACATTATTAAGGTATACTTTTCCAACTATTAAAAAAGAAAGTTTACAAAGCATTTTTCACTCATATTTTTATTGATTTGTAGTATGGTTTCATATTTTCCTCTTCGGTTAACAATGCAGGAAGTGTGTTATTTATTTGCATCCCTCATAACAGCAACCATGATGTTTCTTCATCATAGTAGGTGTTTGACAATGTTAACTTGTTAGATGGGAAAGACATCAACATTTCTACTGACTGGAATATTTGCTGAAGGGATATAAGATGGTGGCTGAAATTACCATGTATGTAGTTAGAAGTCTTCTCATCCTGCTTCTCTTGAGTTATTGGCTTTAGGAATGAACACAGCTACTCTCTGGGGAGATCTGATCACTAAGTACAGATTGTTATTCAGATAACATATTTCAACACTCCAATATATACTTTCTCTCCTCACAATATTCTGCCATGTGTCATCATTTCTCAGAAAATTCAAAGGTCTTTTTCCCTGAGACCTCAGTCCTGGCAACCAGACCAGCAGACAGTGGGTAATCCCTCTGATGGGCAGGTCTTCAGGACATGGGTGCTTCCAACAGCTGTGTCAGAAAGGACACTCCCCTGGAAAGTTTAACAATGCTGAGGGCTGGACGCTCAGTCTGTATGGAGTTATCTCCAGGTCACTGCTCGGTTTCCAGCCATAGGAGGAAAAGTCTTAATGTATCCCTTAGGGTCCCTCTCTCAAAAAGGCTACTACTAGACCATGAAAATAATTCATGTTCTAAGGTAGAGGGGTTGAAGGAAAATGCAAGTATAGCTATTAATCTATGCATGTTTTCCCAGGAAAACAGTGAAACAGCCAGCTTCATCCTGTGAAGTCATGATAAGGTGAGTGGTTAAAGTGCACTGGCTATGCAATAAAATATCAGACAAGAGCCCTAATTGTGCTACACATCGCACACAAGGTCCAAAGGTGAAAGGTCTGTTCTGCTTTCAAGATGAATGTTGTTAGCGTCATTCAGTTTACCACTAATGGTGTACATGACAGCAAGGTAAAGATTTACTAGCTACTCATAAAACATAAATATTTTGTGCATGCCTCATCCTGTAATATATTTATATATCATTTTCATATGAGCTTCTCATGTGTTCTCTTCCATATCTGCACTTACAACCAGCAAACACTTGATGCATTAGAGCAAGTATGTAAATTAGGAGGGGAAATTCCAAGAGTAGAATTTTAATGAATCAAATCCAGTTATTTATTGTATTCATATTTTTTCTCATACAAAATATAAAGCTACAAAGATATCTGATGTACAATATATTGAAAATACATGCACATAGACATAGAAAAGTAATGTAAAAATATTAATTCTATTTGTCTAAGGAAATTTTCAAAACAATGTACATCAAGTGATGGTATATACTCAAATCATAAGCCCATATGAAGGAGAAGAAAACTTGCCTTAAGACACTTCTTTTATACATTTAAGCTGCAAAGGAAGAAGTGAAACAAGATTTTTTTTTTTTTTTTTTTTTGGTTAGCATATTAGAGGGCCCTCATGTGGTTATCATGGGTCCCTGCAAAATGGTAAAGTAGAGCAGTTTTTAGGAATTCTTAGTTCAGCCCATTTTCCCCAGGCACTTAAAGTATATATAAATCAACTTTCGCAGGAATATTCTAATTTTAAAGAATACCAGTGAGGAGTCTATAATCTCACAGCCCTGGATGAGTGTTTTAATGCAATATAGAAAACTTCATTTAAGAAATTCTATATTTAACCAAGTTACATTCATTTCTTCCTGTGAGGCTGAAAATGGGTGTGCAAAAGGGGTTATCATCTTCCTGCCTTGAACATTTTAGTACATTATCAACTCCCTCTCACCTTCCTCTGAGTCAAAAAATCTTAAATACCTCATATCTCCTACCTTTAGATTTTGTGATTTAGGCCATATGTATTTCCAGAGAAGGCTTGTCAACATTATTTCAAAGCTTTTCAGCCTCCAAATCAAACTCAAAAAAAAAAAAGCTTAAAAAAATCAAATCCCACAAACCACCACATTTTAGAAGCTTCTATCAATCAAGCAGCAGGTGAGTCCCTAAAATGCTTGACTCACCTCACCCGCACTGTGGCTGCGTTGCCTCGTCAGGTGTTGCCGATGAACCAGTGCACTCGTGGGTCTACTGCTCTGCAGGGGGAGCCGGGGATCAATGAAAGTGGTGGTGCGGGAGTTGTGGTCCACAAAGAAAGCCTAGGATACAGTACAGTGAATCAAATACATCAGACGGTCAGGAAAAGACTCACTTTGAGTCATGGTCTTAGCTCTATTTTCTCATAATGTTCAATCTTTGGAGAAATTTCTCCTTATCTCCATAGGACAGTTCAGACTAGAGAAAGCCAAGCTTAGATGAGAGCTAGAATGAAGAGAGCAGGAAGGAACATTATGCCTGATTTTAGGAAATACTCTACGAGGTAGTCATCATAGAGATGATCTGAGAAGGAAGCCAGAAGAATGGACATTTGGGCTTCTCTTAACTGATGGTCTTCGAGTTCTTCCTGTCATATACGGCTATTATAAAGTTCTTACCACCTTGAAACTTTTAAACATCATTGACTTCTCTTTTCCTTCTCCTATAGGGCACCAAAATCCTTCTCATATACTCACTGTAGTATCCTCTATTTGTCCCCTCCCAGCCTGAACACCACCCCATTATTTGGGACTTTATTTTACATGTGTAAGTACTGGTGGTTTCTCAGCTGCTCACATCTCCACCACTGTAGTCATTTAACTGGCCCATTACTATATGAATATTCTTCACCACCTCAATCCAAAGCTTCTCATGGCTATCCTTTGTCCACAGAAAAGACATCCCTGCTCATTGGTCAGTTTTTCCTCACTCTTTAACCATCTGTCTACATGCCTTTCCAATGTAGTCACCCATTACACACTCATACAAACTCATCATATACCCAATAGAACTTTGGGTATGTCACTTATGCATACTCTGAGCTATATATTTCTTACAAAAATATGTCTCTTTCATTCATAGTAAACATTTCTCTCTGATAATGTGTTAGGAGTCTGGAAACCACGTCTATCATCATTACTGCAGAATCTCTGGTAACATAAAATCATGAATGAGCATAAACCATTTACTTCAGCATTGCAATTAGGACGGAATACTACGTAGCAAAGCATTTTTTGGTCTGTTTAATTCTAAAACCATACAAGTGCCATTTATCATTACCCTTAGGGGCCCAATGTTATAAGTTTTCAAAGTAAAAATCACTCAAGGTAATAATAAGATAATGAAATCCATTATCTTAAGTACAATTAGAAATTATAAGTTTTCCATGATCAGATAAAGTTAATTAGGTCATCAAAGATGAAAGGGGCTATTAGGAGAGCCAGGAGACTCAGTACCTATAAACCAAGTGTAGAGGTACATGATGCATGCCAAACAACAGGCAAAAAAAGAACTGACCTTTCAAACCAATGGAGCTCAGTTAAAGGAGTACCTGAACACCTAGGGATGAAGGTATCTAGGCAAATGCCAGAGGCTGATAGTGTATTTATGCCTATTTAGAAAACTACTTTCCCATTATGGAACAGAATGTTTCATACGGAACTGCATGTACGTCATCAAGAAATGGGGCAGGTCCCATAAAGAAAACATTTTTACATCTTTATAAAGAAACAACTTTAAGCAATGGATGTACCAGAAAACAAGGCAGAAAAACGGAAAGAACAGGAATCTTTCCCAGTACTTTCTCTTACTCTTCAATTTCTGGGTCCAAAAAAATGAAGGTTTTGTGTGAGATTTTGTCATCAGCCTCACATCCTGGGTAATGTTTCCTCTTCCCTAACCTCGGGTGAAACATCCTTCTTCTCAGGTCTTGTAAAAAGTACTCTGGTGATAAAACCTGTGTGGGCTTGCATTGACAGGCTCTGGCCCCAAACATCACATTGGTCCCATTTAGTTTGTGCTTCTAATACAACTGTCCACTATTTCTGCCACTATTTGAAATGTCATAAAATAGCAATTAAATTTTTTTGTACCAAAGGACATGGCTAATACCTATTTTTAAATAATACATATCAGAACCAACCCCATATCCTCTTTATGTAAATGGAGAGTAACAAGTTTTTATTACTAACACAATCATATAAACCATCTTGTTTAAGGGAAAAAATACAAAGAGCATAAAGTAGAATGGCCTATTTACCTAATTTCTTAGAAATGTTTTGAAGGGATGGGTGGCCATTAATAGTACAATGATGCACTTGTCATTATAAAGACAAATGGGTGTCTACATATAGGTCAGTTGTGATTTGCATGTACTGTCATAGCCTAATGTGACATGAGGAGGCTTGTCTAAAATCTACTCTCGAAAGAACTATACTGCAAAAGACTTGACGGTAGTAACTCTAACTTATTCACTCTGTTGTCCCCCAATGGCTTTTAGGGCTGTGCCTGGGAGAGAGAGAAGATAATAACAAATTGATAAAAACTTGAATTACCAACCAAAATACAAGGAGAAAACCAACAATTAACTAACCAAATATTAATAAGCATGTTCTTAGGCCAGGTGTGATGGCTCACACCTGTAATTCCAGCACTTTTGAAGGCTGAGGTGGGTGCATTGCTTTAGTTCAGAAGCTCAAGACCAGCCTATGGCAAAATCCTGTCTCTACAAAATATTCCAAAATTATCCAGGCATGCTGTGGCACACAGTAGTCCCATCTACTGGGGAGGCTGAGGTGAGAGGATCATTTGAGCCCGGGAGATGGTTGTTGCAGTGAGCCAAGATCGTACCACTGCACTCCAGCCTGGGTAGATGACAGAGTGAGACCCCCATCAAAAAAAAAAAAAAAAAGCATGTTCTTTTACACAAATACAGAAATACTTAAAGATTTGAGGGAAAAATAAGGGATGCTAAAGACCCCAAAACCACAAACAGAAGATTTTAAAAATCCCATTGTAAATATGAGTAAAGTACCAGGTTAAACATGGTACTTCTGGGAAATCTACCAACGAGGGTCAGGTGATCCTTCTGTCCTTCATCTATCCTGCTCTTGGAAACACAAATTTAACAGTGGAGCCCCAGTAGCCAGACTGAACCATGGGGATTGTTGAGGAAAAGAGTCAAATTCTGTAAAATATTTGAAGAGATTTATTCTAAGCCAAGTATGAGTGGCTAATGGCTTGTGACACAGCCCTCTAGAGATCCTGAGAATGTCTACCCAAGGAGACTTGGTTTTATACATTTTAGAGAGTCCTAAGGCACCAAAAATACATGCAAGATATCTGTTAGTTTAGTCTGGAAAGGTGAGGCAACTGGAAGTAGGGGTAGGGGTGGTTCTAGGTTATAGCCAGATACAAAGATTTTCAGTTTGGCAACTGGTTATTATCTAAAGATCTGGAATCAATAGAAAGGGATGTCTGGGTTATAAGGGTTGTGGAGATGAATGTTTTATTATGCAGATGAAGCCTCCCAGTAGCAGGCTTCAGAGAGAATAGAGTGTAAATGTTTCTTATCAGACACTAAGTGTTCTATCAGTCTTAAGGTCTCTGTGTTGATGTTAATGCTGGTCAGCTGTGAGACACATCCAACCCTCGACTTCCCATCATGGCCTGTAGTAGTTTTTTAGGTTAACTTTGGAATGTCCTTGGCTGAGAGGAGAGATCCATTCAGATGGTTGTGGGGCTTAGAATTTTTTTTTTTTTTTGGTTTACAAGATGAAGGATGGCTGAGCAAAAAGTTGGAAGTTGCTGAAGGCTCTTGCAACATGATGAACTCCCTGGTCAACCCTAGACTGCCTGCCTCTGAACTTCTTTATGTGAAAGAATATAATTTTTTTTTAAGATAAAGTCTTGCTCTGTTGCCCAGGCTGGAGTACAGTGGCATGATCTTGGCTCCCTGCAACCTCCACCTCCGAGGTTCAAGCAATTCTCCTGCCTCAGCCTCCCAAGTAGCTGGGATTACAGGTGTAGTGTGCTTCACCACACCTAATTTTTTGTATTTTTAGTAGAGATGGGGTTTCACCACATTGGCCAGGCTAGTCTTGAACTCCTGGCCTCAGGTGATCTACCCACCTCAGCCTCCCAAAGTGCTGGGATTACAGGGATGAGCCACTGCACCTGGTGAGAATACAATCTTGTACATTGAAATGTATGTGGGTTTTCCACCACAATACAGTCAAATCAAATCCCACTGGAAACAGTGAAGCTTCCACACTGCAGAGGAAAGACAGTCTCTCTAAAAGTAAAACCAGAAATCACCATTATATATAGGGATTTTCCCTATTTGGTGAATAATGATATATCTACCATTCACCTTTAAAACAATTAGAATATAATTCCCAATGTACATGAAATGTATAGTTGGGAACTTGTAAAGCTAGGATTTGAACCCATGTTTCTATCTGTCCCCAAAGCCCAATGAGCAATACCTTTTTCCTCACCTCTCTTCTTTTCATATATCATCTCCTTTTTTCCATTCTGCTTTCTACCTACCATATTTTCCTTTTTACGTTCTTCCATTCCCTCCACACCTTACATCATACTTTATTTTAGGAAAACATTTCAGTATATATTGAACAAGGCTGACAGTAACAGTCACTCACAGTGCTTGGCCTCACCAGTTTCAACACTGCAATGTTTCAAGTGGAAAGACTGCTATTGATCTCAACAACATGCTCTACATACTGTGCCCAATTTTCATCACTAATCTGTTGGAAGCATGGCTATGGGTGGGGAATAGGTCCTATTTGTATCCCACAAGGGGCTCTATTTCAGAGTCAAATGGAATGTGTATATTGTTTACACACGCTTTTTAAGTCTGCCAACTACTTGGGGGAAAGGTCTCGATTAAGACCTCCATCAAAGCCTCCAATACAGCGCTTCTAAGGAGCAAATTGCTTGGCGAGAGTTCTGGCTCTGCTCTGGGCCCACTGTGTGATCTTGGACAGATTTCCTTAGCGCTTTGCTTTATTCACATAAAGGGGATTACTCAGGTCACAGCTGAGTTGTGAAAAATAGATTCTACTTTAAAATGAAGAGGAGAGCATGCAAAGTCCAAGCTTGCCATTTCTATTTGTGACACACATATCAATTATGTCAGGAAAGTAGATCACTTTCCCACAGGAAATGCTACCTAGTTCAAGCCAGCAATGAAGCTGACCTAGTAAATTTGAGTTACTTTATGTCACAACTTTTGAATAGCCTGCAATTATTTATGAAAGTATCT